GGTAAAAATCTGTTCATATTAATTCCCTAATAAGCATAATAATTCATAATTTTTTGGTTCTAATCACATTTCAATTAAACTTGGAGACATAGATTTTCTGTTACATTGCGCAGACCTCATTAGCTTTACACTCAAATCTGGTCATATTAATTTTCTGATTTGCATAATTAGTTTTCAGCTAAGTAATTTCGAATTATATTTAATGTGTCTCCAATACTCTCAGCACATGGGAGTTCTTTCTAAGCTTTCTTTGATTTCATTTATTGCTGTAAACCAATAGAACATTTGTACTTCTAAGGATGCAATAAAGTTATTATTATTATGTTCACATTTTTATCATTATTTTATCCTTATTGTATGTTTTCGTTTTGTTCGCATTTTTACATTATTTCATCGTTTTGTTCACATTTATATATTATTTTGTTATTATGTTTTCATTATGTTAGCATTATTTAACATTTATCTGTCTAATTATGATAATTTATGCAAGGTGAACAAACTTCCTAGATTAGGCGCGAGTACATGCCGTAGTTGTCCTATAAGATAAGATAAGATAAGATAATTCTTTATTACAACCTTATAGAATGAATTACATATCTATTTTGGTTTATGAAATGCAATAAAGGTGTTAAAATAAACATAACAAGTTAGATATCTAAAATCTACTACAATACAGTTACATGAAATAATGTTAAAAAAAAAATATTAATGACCCATTAGGTGGTTTTCTCTAATGGTATTTGCTGTTTTTATAAATTTGATAAGCTCTGTTAGTAAATATTTGTTGTTTGTATTCAATATATGAATGAATTTTTCTTTGTTTGTACAGTGTTGAAAATTGTTAATTTTCTTTGAAAAATGTGAATATAACAACTCTCTTTCATCTGTGTAAAGTTCACATTTTGTGATGTAATGAATTTCATCCTCAAGTAGGTTGCATTTAGTACATTTTCTGTCTTCTGTTTTTATTTTTGGTCTTTTGTGCCTTCCCATCTCGATGTTTAGTTTATGGGCACTTAGTCTCAATTTTGCTAATAGACCAATGTTTTCTTTATTATCAAGGATTTTAATGTATGGTTCAGTATTTATATTTTTCTTCAGTAATGTATAAGTTCTTAGTTTTGAATCTGGTCTTTGATTATCTTGGTTCCATTTATAATTGTAATATTCATTCACTTTTTGTTTAAACTGTCTTTTTTAATTGTTTCTAAATTCTTAATATCATACAGCTGTTTTATTTTATGCAGATTCATTAACCATGTGTCATTATATTTGTTTTGTTGTTGATCTTTTATTGCATCATATACTAGACTGATTGGGCCATTCTTAATAATATTTTGGTAGTATATGATTGCATTCAGTTGTATTTTTGCTAGTAATGGTAGTCGTCCAATTTCCATTCTACTACCAATTCTACTACCTATATAAAAACAATATAAAAATGTGAACATAATGATGACATATATTGTAAAAATGCTAACAAAATTAAAACATAATGTGCACATAATAATATGAACATACCCGATACATGTAATGATGGAATAATGTAAAAATGCTAACAAAAGGAAAAAAAATATGAACATAATGGTAAAATACTAAGAGAAATGTTTTTGGCACTTACATGTATCTCACCCCATACAGTGCTGTGTGTACAGGGACGCGTTCGATTGATAAATGTCACCCAACAACGGCCCTGCGTACCTCCATAGACAAAGTCTGGTTGCGCGGAGTTGGTAAGCAAGTTAAAAATAAGCAGTATTCCCAGCAGTAGTTTTCAATCAGTTGAAATGACGATATGGTTATTCGTAACAACTATTACAAAATTATCTGAAACTGAAATGTCTTTAAAAAAAACGACTAATAAAGATGGAAAAATTGTAAAGACGTAGGTACCAAGGAATCATCTATCAAACGCTGCAATTTTTAATTTAATTCATGCAAGAGAATGCGTTTGTTTTTAGGACAAAGTAGCCGATATCATCCACAATTGGACACCAAACTGGGAGTGCTGTTAATTATATTTTTCAAAGTCCTGGACATTGTCTCTGGAGGTACGCAGGGCTGTGGTGGGGGTCATCTATCAACCGAATGCGTCCCTGTACACACAGCACTGTACGCAGGACTAGGCATGATGATGATGCAGTCAGTAGGGCTCATACCACTAATTGAAACTCCATAGACGACAATGTTAACCTATGAGGAGATTGCTATATGAAAATGATAAACAACACGCCCTCAAATAGGGCAAACCTGAGAAAAAAGTATTTCAAAAATGTCATTGATTCTTGCAAGGCATTTAAATTGAACGGGCTACCAATGGTCATTGGTTGATTATTAGTCACCCAGCCCCCTGTGTTTAAGAAATTTATTTATTTATGTGATTGCTTTCAACAAGAGCTGACCAATTTTACATTGTGAATCTTAATTTATCAATAAACAATTTTGGAAAGAGAATATTAATTGTTGCATGCACTGTGTATTTATTCCTATTTATTTAGTCTACTTTGAATTAGTCTTCTCCAGGCAACACAGATTCCAGTATTGTCAGTACAGCACCTCGTGAAAACATGGTAAGATTGGGATACTGCTAAGTACAAGTTTTGAGTTTGTAGTATACATCTATGACAGAATAGGGGGTTGGTCTGAGTCGTTTGTGAAACTGTTTCTTAGTTTGTCACAAATTGAATTTATTTATTTACCATATTTGGTGTATTAGAAGCGCATATATTTGATTACATTACAGGTGTGTTTCTATTGGGGAAATAAATATTTCTTATACAACACATGTACTGTTAAAATCCTATTATAAACCGCATATCTAATAGTAACCGCACCCCTGATTTTGGCTTCAGTGTTAAAGAGTTCTCAACAAAAATTGAAAACATGAAAAGTACCTATTACTAACCGCACCCCCAATTCAACAAGACCGTGACCGACTTTGTTTCAACGAGCTGGTACATTGTCCCTAATCCTATTCATTTGTTTCGACAACGTGCCTAAAAATATTCACACCTCTTTATTGTTCAGTAGTGTTAAGATGTCAAACACGCAGTGGAACTGCTTTTGTCTTGTGACAACTTGTGTCAATACTCTTTATGAATACGTCCGTGTGTCGCAAGTTTTCGACAATGAGCTGTTCTCACCAAAAAACTGTTAAATTCTTTTTCAATGCTCAGTTTATCTTTCGAAAACAACTAATTTCTTGATTTAAAAAAAAAAGTCATGTCGTTTTCCCATGGAAATCAAAGCCAAAAGATGGCACTACATTATCGGTAAATCGCTTCCGGGTTTCGTTCACCATGAAGTCGATGACCTGTCATTAACATATTTAAATGAACTAAGGTAATTTGAACACGTGGGCACCATCCAGCATTTTGATTGATTAATTAGCGACTTGACCTACCCGGTCAAGTAATGTCTCGTGTGTATTCAAACTACTTGGCGGATGTCGCATCGATCGTTTACATGTGACCGAAATAATTCGCTTACGTTAAATTTTACTTGCATTTGATAACAATTCAACGAATTTAATTTTTGTGCGTTGTAATAATCACTACTGAGTAATGATCAACAATTTTAACAGTTCGAAAACAAGTAAGTTACAAAAATGTATTCACTTGTGAGCCGTAGCATGGCCGGATTGCGTTACCGTAGCCACGGTACCGTACTTTTTTAGTGCCGTACCATGATCATTTTCTACTAAGCAATGCATTAATGTTTGTTTTATTTGAAACTCCTGTCAGAATATACTTTTCGTTACGAAGAAAATAAAAAAAATGCATATTACATTAAATATACAGAGTATATATTTTTAAAATAAACTGAGCATTTGAAGAATAATTTAACATTGTTTACAGTGATAACAGCTCATTGTCGAATCGAAGCTTACCCATTCACGCTAGTCACAATAAACATCATACTCATCTTGAATAGGTGTCAATGATTATGGTAAAACTTAGACTCTATTTTAGGCGTCAGGAATGATTGAAATGTTCGAAAAATGACGCCAAAATACACCTTGAAAATACCATTTTATTTTATTTTAAATCCCATTTTATTTTTTTAATCCAAACTGCTGTTTAATGGCCCAGGGCGAATTTACGGCAGAATCTGTTCCCTCAAATAAGGGACACGTAAGCTTTGATTCTAACCAGATATATTGCACTGGGTCGAGGAGATACAAACTTTCATGCATCTTTTGTCCAATAGGTATCTGTACTTCGAACATTCACAAGTTTTGCTAGGTGGTGTGAGAAAGCTTTGTTCAATGAGGCAAACAACTCTCAATGCTAAAATAAATTGCAGAGGTGGCTAAAATTAATTGAAAACAAGCAAATAATTTCCATGAAAAATAAATCACAGAGAGAGGTAAATTGATGCATTAACTCGTTTGACCTATTAGTTTTGTGCTGACCTCTTCTCTGCATCTGATGTTTTGTTTTCCTTGTCATAATACTTACTGATTGATCACTTTGTTATGATTATTAGTTTTTTACCCTACAACTCGGCTACGACCTTTGTTTTTACTGCGAAACATGGGGAAGTTTACATCAACTTGATGGACATTCCATTTTTTAAAAACTAACGAAGCACACTGTCTATCAGCCCTATTTTTTTCCATTTTGCTGATTTCTATTCTGAAAAATTTGACCGCTCGAAAATGCACCTTAATTTTGTACTCTAAAAACATGTCAGATTCCCAACTCCAATTATATAAAACCGATCAAAATTTTAGAGTTTTTACAGTAAGATGTCTTGAATTAAAATTTGTTCCTGCTTCATTCTGTGTGTACATGTGTATATGAATTAAAAAAGTATATTTTGCAAACATTTTGCAAACTTGGATGCCTGTTATACAAAATCGTCATCTCAGTACAAATCTGATATCTTAATAATTGTATCCTACTGAAAGTACAATGTATATCAACGTCAATCAAACTTACAAAATGATATCTGGATTTGAGGCTATTGCCAGTTTATTAATGAAACTCTACATAAGTAGCATTTATACTGATTACAAAATGATGGAACTGATCAAATGCAGACTTGTGCAGATGATAAAGACATTTTCAACCCCAAAGTTTGAACAAAGCCCTTGCAACAGTTATAATGCATCTGTCACTATTTTTGTTTACTGTAAAATACTTTAGTTTCGCTTAGAATTAATTTTCGCTGAAGGAATGATTCAGTGAAAATAAAATCCAGTGAATATACCTTTTTCCTATATTTCACATTCAACTTGACAAAAATCAGTGAAAATAAATTTCATACAAAAGACACAAAATGTCTTTTCATCAAAAATTACTATTTGTATATTTGAATCAAACATCTTCATTATATATTATTAATAACATGCATGTGATACTTTGAAATAAACGTTTGTGGTAAACACATAATGTCCTATATGAACACTTAAGAGATTAATATTTTAATTATTTAGCATCAACTGAAATGCATTTTTTGGTTTATATTCACTTCTCTTGAAAATGTTCTTCAAGCAAATAAGGTACATTGTTTATACAAAATATCCAAAATATGTGAAAAATACAGTGCTTTTTAGTTCAGATTCTTTAAGCATGCTCATCAACATGTTCATTTATTTTATTTATTTATTTATTTATTTATTTATTTATTTATTTATTTATTTATTTATTTATTTATTTATTTATTTATTTATTTATTTATTTATTTATTTATTTATTTATTTATTTATTATGTTATTTTCGGATCTGTAATGGAGAAACACTTTTTGATCTTGTCTGAGTTATAAAAATTAACTAGATTATTGGTATATTAAATTAATATTTGTTGTATTCATTTCAGATCAACACAGCTATTAAATTTTTGCAAAATCCAAAGGTCAGACAAAGTCAATTTTCAACAAGAAGGGCATTTCTTCAGAAAAAAGGTAAGCTTTATTGTTTTTTCTGTCACTGGTTGGTCTTTATACTCAATATTCAGCTCACCCATTACAAGTAGGTTATTATACTCAATATTCACATCACCCGTTACAGGTAGGTCATTATATTCAATATCCACCTTACTCATAACTTGTAGGTCATTATACTCATTATTCACCTCACTCATTACAGGTAGGTTATTATACTGAATATTGACCAGCGTTGACTGGTCATATATAAACTCAACACTTGCATCATATATTGTGTCACACATTCAGTTTATTTCATGATCCAATTCAAGATGCTATCCTTTTTAAACTAAAAATGCATCAGAGCCATCGTTTCAGTGATTCTGTAGCTGGGTCAAATCAAACTTTACACAGTAACATTGTACATAAGATCAAAATCTGACTCAAAATGGTTTTAGTTTTTGACTTGCCCCCAGTGAAGTGTAGGAAAAGTCACAGTAGTGGCGAAATTTTGTTTACTTATGGATGTGACAACTCCAACAATATTTGGCCAATCACTAGCAAACTTATAAATATGGTTATTTTTGGAAGTTTTTAAACATTACTTCAATAGTACACCATGGAGCATGTACATAAGGACATCCTCATTCAGTGAGATGGAATGTGTCCTGTATTCCATCAATCTAAACCGCATCTCATTCTAGAAAAGCATGTTTTAGTCTCCATTCGGATGAAGTCCGAAAACGGGGACTTATAATTTGGTCTCCGTCCGTCCGTTCAGAGTCATATTTCAGAATCCTTTGGACAGATTCCGTTCATTCTGTACATGTGCCTAGTACTTTATGTGGGACATATGCACATGCAGTGATTTAGCGATTCCATTCAAAATGGCCGACTGGCAGCCATCTTGTTTTTTGAAAATGTTGTATTTTTGACATGCTTTGTCAGTTTTCATTCAAACTTGGTACATAGATTATACATGTTAGGATACATGTCCATGACAGTTTCTTTGGCAATTGGATCAAAGATGGCCGACTAGCAGGCATCTTGTTTGTTTTTTTAGCTCCGCTGTCGACTTTGTCGAGCGGAGCTTACTTATGTGATTGTCCGTCGTCGTCAGTCGTCGTCCGTGTCAATGTTTTACTTTTTCGACTTCTTCTTAAAAACTACAAGCCTGAATGCTTTGATACTTGGTATATATGTACCTTGGGTAGACCTCTCTTAGATTTGTTCATTTCATGATGATATCTTCAATTCTCTAATTTTGGTGAATATTTTCGTCATTTTTGGTAAAAAGTTATATTTTCAACTTCTTGTTAAAAACCGCAAATCCATTTGCTTTGATATTACATATATAGGTAATACATGTTGACCTCTCTCAGATTTGTTCATTTTGTAATGATATCTTTAATTCTCTAATTTTGTTGAATTTTTTTGTCATTTTTGGTAAAAAGTGATATTTTTGACTTCTTGTTGAAAGCCGCAAGTCCAATTGCTTTGATATTACATATACATGTACTACATGTGGATCTCTCTCAGATTTGTTCATTTTGTAATGATATCTTTAATTTTCTAATTTTGGTGAATATTTTTGTCATTTTTGGTAAAAAGTGATATTTTCGACTTCTTGTTAAAAACCTCAAGTCCAATTGCTTTGATATTACATATATAGGTACTACATGTGGTTCTAACTCAGATTTGTTCATTTCATGATGATATCTTCAATTCTCTAATTTTGATGAATATTTTTGTAACTTTTTCACTTCTTGTTGAAAACCGCAAGTCTGATCGTTTTGATACTATACATATTGTTCATTTTCTAATGATATCTTCTGTTCTTTATCTGTTGAAATATTGTTGGAGTAATTTCAGTGTATTTGGTGTCCAGACATATTGTCAGCTTGTGTTGCTGGGAAGTTTTCATGGAGAAAAAAATATTTGAGAAAGATTTACCGGGGTAATGTTGTACGACAGCACTGAAGTGAATGGCTCAAGAAATATATTTATGCCTTTAAAGTTCAATTCGGTAAGAGGGCGCCAGCCGAGAGTACCAGGCGCCCCTGTTCTCCCAGTTTAGAAAAACCCTTGTTACTACTATATTTCCAAAATTTATGTACCATTTTCATTCGTATTTGGCACATACATCATACATGTCAGTTTGTTTCCTAATCAGATCAGATTATTTTTGACCATATTGCCATATATCTGTCACTCATGTATAATTTTCATTGATATTTAGCATGTCATAAGAGGATACATGTACATGTCAATTCAATTTGCAATTTGATCAAATATGGCCGACTGGCAGCCATCTTGTTTGTTTAAAATGTGATAACTTGGACATGCTTTCACTTGTGATCTGTTTTTTCTTTGCTATGTCTAAAACTGGGGAGGTCGTCGCGCAACACATGTTCGAATTTGATTTAAATAAACACTCTGTTGTATACGCCACTAGGGACTCACGTTTCAAGGACATGCTCGCGGCAACTCCTCCGTTTTAATATGACTAGCACAAAGAGAACTTTCAAAAATTTAACGGGGACTGTGTCATTTTCAATGACTTGTCTGTTTTAATATCTTCTATTCAGGTTTAACATCAGCTGAGATAGAGATCGCTATTCAGCGTTCTGGAACAGCAGCAGATGAACATGCTCCACCTCAACCACCTGTTCAATCTGGTGCTGTAATTCCAATGTCATCTGCTACTGCCTCATTGCCATCACCTTCTCCAAAGTCCACTTGGGCCAAGACAAGAGATTTTTTAGCTGTGGCAGTTATTGTTGGTGGTGCTACGTATGGTATTATGAAATTAATTAAGGTGAGGTTTTATATTCTGCAGACAAAACATATTTTTCCATAATTTCTTTTAATTTCAATTTTGGACATAATTGACTTACTCGGTAGTTGAAAATTGTTGAAAAAAATATGGAACAAATTATGCAGGTTTATGAAGTTATTACAAGAACACAGCAAAGTGAAAGCAGTACATGTATGATTGTATTGACACATACCAATGATTGATTCAATATCATACAGACTTAGGGAGCAGATCAAAATCACCTTGCCTGTATTTGGGCCAGTTCCCGCCGACCCCATTCTAATGCAAATTACAGCGTGATTAAATATTCATTAAAAATTAACATGCTAGGAATACCGCGGTACTGCAAGCTGTTTTTTTGTTTTATTTATTTATTTTTATCATTTTGCTGAATATTATCATTGACCTTGCTGTTGTTTATATATTATGTCCGTTTTGTCAAGTTTCAAATTTCCATTTATGGATTTTCTGACTTGTTGATGTCCAGACAGACAGAGTTTACGTTCATCGAAATATATTCACCGAATGTATTGCAAAACAGACACGATCTCATACTTGTCAGTTGACACATTTTACTATGTCGTGGTCTAGACAGATTGTACATCTATTCTGTTGTGTATTGATCGATCTAGCTTGTACTATGAATGCTGGGACATGCCGAGTACCTAGTGGGAAGCTTGATGTACGGCAAAACATGACCCTATTGTCTTTTGTTCGTCATTTTACTCTTTTTGTCAACGTCCACAGATCGTAGATTATATCGGTCAAAATAAATTTAAATTGTTCACATTAAAATAAAAAAACTTGGTGTTTTTTGTGTCTACTTGATTTTGTGTCTACTTGATTTTGTGTCTGTACTTGATTTTGTGTCTGTACTTGATTTTGTTTCTGCTTTGTTTTGTACATGTTTCAGAGAAAAGCAAACATCTAAAGTGAAAACGACAGTAGACGAAATATATTTGGTCGTTTCCAAGTGAAAATAAAAAAATATATATGTATTTGTTTGCTGGTGTTTCCAAAAATTACCAACATCTAGATAGATTGAAGATTTGCAGGAGGCAAAATATATTTGATTGTTTTCACTTGTTTCTAAATAAAAAAAGAAAAAACTAATTGTGGGCTGTTTTTTTTGTTTTTTTATATACGCTCTATTGTTATGATAATTCCTGTGTGAAGTAGCGTTACTATTTCTTGTAACATTCGTCTTCGGACTTTATGGCATAGTACATGTACTTGTCTCGTCGCCTGGTCAATGTATTTTATATTATTGTATGGATCTTTAGCGTGTTATTCAGCCTGTTATGGACTCAGAAATTGTTGATTCAATGGCACTGAACCTTTTCAGGGCCCTGAGTGCCAACAGCTATCTCACTCAGAAAACGTTGCCCTCATAGCAACCAGTTCTTTTCAATTTGTAGTGTGTCGTGGGAAGACAGCATTAAAACTGCTGTTGAAGTTTTAAAATGCTGAAGCAAAAACAAAAGTTATACTGAGTAATTTGTTTCACTTGTTAATTAAAATGTAGCAATGTAGGATGTTTGTTGCCTGTAGCATGTTTTATGATTTACTTTTTTCAACTCTACAAATCAGTGAATTGAATTGAATTGTGGAAAAATAAATTGCATTGTTCTCGATAGTATTTTCTGAAATTAAAATGAAACACCAATTGTTCAATAAAAAATAAAGATTCATTTAAAATGTTTATTTATACTATAAGTATTTTGGAAATTACCCGTATATATTTAAAACCTAAATATTTACCATATTCCAACCAGTTATCATCAAAATCAATTTTTATTATTTGATTGTAGGCTTATTTTGCACCATTGCTTCAGTCAAGAAAAGAAGAAATAGAAAGACTGGAGAGAATGGAACGTTCCATTCAAGAACTCAACACTAATGTAACCCAAGCATGTAAGTACATGCCTTGGTTTATACTATCAACAGTTTTAATTTTGCAAGACTCAAATTGCTGGGTATGTCTGTGGTTCTGGAAACAGTTCTGTCAGTCATAAGTGTACAGAATGTGACAATATCGCTATAAAAACACTGACTGTTTTATGGTCTTGTCAAAACTACTGTAACCTTCTAGTATTGTTACTTGTTAGTATTGAGAACTGCTAGTAATGTTACTTGTAAGTACTGTAAACTGCTATTAATGTTAGTACTGTAAACTGCTAGTAATGTTACTTGTGAGTGCCGTAAACTGCTAGTAATGTTACTTGTGAGTACTGTAAACTGCTAGTAATGTGAGTACTGTAAACTGCTAGTAATGTTAGTACTGTAAACTGCTAGTAATGTTACTTGTGAGTACTGTAAACTGCTAGTATTGTTACTTGTGAGTACTGTAAACTGCTAGTAATGTGAGTACTGTAAACTGCTAGTAATGTTACTTGTGAGTACTGTAAACTGCTAGTAATGTGAGTACTGTAAACTGCTAGTAATGTTACTTGTGAGTACTGTAAACTGCTAGTAATGTGAGTACTGTAAACTGCTAGTAATGTTAGTACTGTAAACTGCTAGTAATGTTACTTGTGAGTACTGTAAACTGCTAGTAATGTTAGTACTGTAAACTGCTAGTAATGTTAGTACTGTAAATTGCTAGTAATGTTACTTGTGAGTACTGTAAACTGCTAGTATTGTTAGTACTGTAAACTGCTAGTAATGTTACTTGTGAGTTTTGTGAACTGCTAGTAATGTTAGTACTGTAAATTGCTAGTAATGTTACTTGTGAGTACTGTAAACTGCTAGTAATGTTTCTTGTGAGTTGTGTGAACTGCTAGTAATGTTAGTACTATAAACTGCTAGTAATGTTACTTGTGAGTACTGTAAACTGCTAGTAATGTTAGTACTGTAAACTGCTAGTAATGTTACTTGTGAGTACTGTAAACTGCTAGTATTGTTACTTGTGAGTACTGTAAACTGCTAGTAATGTTAGTACTGTAAATTGCTAGTAATGTTACTTGTGAGTACTGTAAACTGCTAGTATTGTTACTTGTGGGTACTGTAAACTACTAGTAATGTTAGTACTGTAAACTGCTAGTATTGTTACTTGTTAGTACTGTAAATTGCCAGTAATGTTAGTACTGTAAATTGCTAGTAATGTTACTTGTGAGTACTGTAAATTGCTAGTAATGTTACTTGTGACTAACTGTAATTTGTTTGTATTTCAGTGAGTGAGTTACGTGGCACTCTAGTCAACTTACAAGAGGCCCTTACACAAAACAATGACAAATTACAAGATGCATCTGCTGGAAAGATTATTGGCAGGAGTATTGATCAGCAATCGATAAATGAAATTAAATCAGAAGTATTATCCTTGAAAGGACTTATACTGAACAGGTAAGTTTTTTTTTCACTGACAATATCATATTTAGGGACAGCGCCCCCAGTGTTGAATTGTTTTGTTTTTAATATGGTAGAGATGCTGTGGGACAGTGTGATGGTTCTCTGGTAATGTCATATTCAAGGACAGTGCCCTCCATGTTAAATTGTTTATTCAACATGATAGAGATGCTGTGCAGCTAGTGTGATGGTTCTCTGGTAATGTCATATTCAAGGACAGTGCCCTCGGTATTAAATTGTTTATTCAATATGATAGAGATGCTGTGCAGCTAGTGTGATGGTTCACTGATGATGTCGTATTTGGTGACAGCGCCCTCAGTGTTAACTTGTTTTCTCAATGTGGTAGAGATGATTGTGTTTGGCCAATGTGTGTTGGTTAATTGATGATGTATATACATGTACAATTCCGTGCATGACAATGTTATTGTGGTTGGAATTCCACCAATTTACAGTACTTTCTCCCACATATCCTATTGGTATTGGAATTTTCTGACTGACTGCCGTGCATATTATGACATATCTTGAAAGCATTTTTGTCAACCCATCTTAGGGATAACAAACATACAGATGCAAATACAGTAATCCTTTTTTAGTGCAAACTGAAATAGATTCTGTTGGCATATATTGAAAACAATATTTATAATATGCATAAAAATCAAATTATTCTATATTTTCTGCTTTGAATTCTGTATCCAACAGAATAACACTTTCAATCAAGCACTGATGATACAAGTGATGCTGAGTTTCTGGATGGAATTTTTTTTGGAAAGTATTTCTGCTCATATAAATGTTTTTTTTTTTGTTTTTTCATTAGGCACCAATTTCCATCAGCTCCTACCCCAAGTCCTATCCCAGCTTGGCAGAGAGTAGATACTGCCTCGGCCAAGACGTCAGAAACTCAAGATGATGTCTCTGCAGATGAAACTAAAGTATCTGGATTATTGAATACTGGGAGTGGTCAAGCAGAATCAGTGTTAACTGTTGAAAGTCAAAGTTCAGAGATCAAAAGTCAAGATGGGATTAATGTGACAGAGAATGTGCTAGATACAAGTGCTGACATAGCACTAGATATAGACAATGATGGCATGAAGGGAGTGGAAGCTGACAAAAATCAACCCGAAATTGATACTCAGTGTGAAAATGTGTCTGGCAGTGCACTACAAACAAGTACTCAAGTCTCTCCAGAGGTCAACAAGCTGATGCCAAATGGTGACACAGACCAACATCAACCAGGAGTAGAGATCAACAGTCAAAGTTCACCATGTGCTGAAGTTAAAAATCAAACCAATCATGTTATCCAAGTTGATGGTAAAATGAAAACCATGGATTACATTAATAATGTAGATTCTACCATTCCAAATGAACCAAACAGTATGGACACGATTGAACCCAGTCAGGTCAAAGGTCAACTGAATGCTCCTGCTGAGGAACAAGATGCCTAAGAATTATTTGCATAATTTTATTCAACATAATCTTGATGAGCCTGTGATTAATTTCCCTGAAGAGTGATACCTCAAAAAAAAAATAGAATAGCCTTGAACTTGATTCAGAGAATTTTCATCTTAAAATCGCCTTGGTAACATTCATTGTTACAGTAGCAAATCATACTGCTTCTCAACTCTAGCCCTAATTATCGTTTTTAGAAATTGAAAAAATCTTCACTACACCCCCACTGCAAATTTTGCAAGCCACAAATGTTTGCTAGGAAATCTGATCCTGGATAACTTGAGTAGTGTAAATTTTTCTGGTTTCAGTGACTAATCCCAGCTAAACTCTCAAATTGTTGTGATTTTTGACATCAACAGTTAACTGCTTACACTATATGTGGTTAAGTGATTAACACACATGTATTTGTAATTTTAGTAGAGCATGCACTATGGAAAAGAACAGTGTCAATGATATAGCCCTTCTATTAGAGATATGTCTACCAGAGAAAATAGTATCAGGTGATCTCTACTTTCTATGCAAATTACTCAAGATAATTTATTTACAAAGTATTAATATAATCTGCCAAACTGTAACAACATTTATATTATAGTGACTCTAATAAAAAATTTCAATTTTAAATATACAATGTATTGAACAGTATTTTTATCTCTAGCATCTGATTTCTCCTTGGCTGGAAATATTAGTGTAATTATTTCATCAGTGTTTATCTTTTTTAGCTAAACAGACTGGTTTCTAATTATATTTATGATGGAAACAAGTTGAGAAATTTCACTTCCCATTCGTATTTCTACCAAATAGCAGATATTTGATAAAGTAACATAATATAAGTAACGTCTAATTCTACTGTTTAGTCCATAGGTACTCTTTCATCATTACCATTGTCACCTTTCATAACACTGTTTATAATTAGTGATCTACGTTTGCATGTGTAGCTATGGCAACTAACAAATATTTTAATGATCCAGCATATGAAGACTAAAAATTTGAGGTTCTTGTGTGAAATACACTCATAAACCAAGTACAGTATGTGGAAAAAATCTTACAATTTGAAGGGTACAACAAATATGGTCATAAAAGAGTTACCTTAACATGAGAAGAAAATGTATATCTTTGATGTGAATTAACATTGAAATCGGGGAAAATTGCAGAAAAAATAGTAACTTGTACCAAAACCTGATGAGGTGAAACATTTTCAGAACAGAAGTTTCAGGTTCTTAGAGAGTTTGACTACAATGCACATATGAAAAGCAGATGTCTATTGTCTTTGTTTACAAAAAAAAAACATATTTATGCAAAACTTGTACTACCACTATATCACCTTCAGTTAACTAGCAAAGACATAAGGCTTGGCTTTATCATAGGTAAACCTATGTTCATCAAAAATAAAAGTGTCTTCCTTTATTCATGCACACAATAGAAGCAAGGCAAATAAAATCTAGGCCAACTTGGTATCCATACACCTGGGAAAACAGCCATTTCCTTCATAAGAATCGACACTGGTGCACACATAGTGGCGTAATAACCAAAGAACTTAAAACTGGACATTGTAAAATATTGCTACAACTTTCAGTTTAATTGCTTTCAAAATTGTAATGTTCTTGTTTTCGCTTCAGCCATTACTGATCAGGCTTAAATATTAGAAGCTGCATAAGTCAAATTGGTTTAAAATTGAAAACACAGAATATAAAAGTATTTAAAGTGGAATGGAATACAAGTTTGCAAAGAGCATTATATAACCAGTGATAAAGTGATTTCAAGACAATATTAGTTTGTACAATGATGGTATTCATTATCACTATATAACACTTCAATGACAAATGTAGAAATAGAATAGAAAATATTACATCTGTTAATAATAATAATCAATAACTGTACCTTTTATTTTATAGCACAAATAAGTTTAAATATAATTACACAATGAACAAAAAATTAAAATTAACAAAGAACAACAAATAGACAGTAATTGTATTTACATAAGGTTCAAACAGATCAAAATCTGTCTAAACTGAGTCTTGGGTAAACCTATCTAGAGGGAACATCATTTTAGACCATTCTAGATGGACCTATTTGTATAAACCAGCTTTGGAAGGTTTCACTGTTTGAGGACGCTGTATCGCCATTACCCCCATATTGTAAAAGTTTCACAGAGCAATGGAGTTTAATATTGTTGCTCCTGTTTTTTCTCGACTTTTAGGTTGTACATCAGAATTGTATACAAATAGCAAAGTGGCAGGGTGTATTCATCACTTCAAGATAATGAAATTCTCTATTATGCCTCTTAGTATTTGCATGTTTGAAAGATATTGATAAATAACTTAATACTTTTCAGTACATATGGGCTAACAGTAGAACTAGAGAATGGCCGTGTTGAATACTCATAAATATGTTACAACTTACTGATTATTGAGAATCTTTCATACCATCAAGGACATTGTAACATGAATGGATGCAGAAATTCCACAAAACAAGTTTTGTGTTGAATGTAATATTTCACTAATTCCTTCCAGGTTTCTAAGGAATCACAAAATAGAAAATTTTAGTTCCTGTTTGAAGGCAAATGGGATGGCAGTTATCTAAATTTAAAAATCCAATTGATCTCGAGCTTTACTGTTTTCAACATCTGGCCCATAAAATGGTGTCCAATAGTAGTGTCTGCGAATACCATGTGATATTTCAGATAAGTAGACAACTCCATCCACTACGTATGGTTTCACATCTGTATTACGCTGATCAAGTCTCTCTGTTTCTATCAACTCATTGAACGCCTATAAGAACAAAGATATCTTTCTTCATCTGGATGTAAGAGATGTAAAACAGTGCCTGAAAGTGTGTAAATGACTTAGTTGTGACAATAATTCAAGTTTTACATGTTCACTGCAAGATCACAGTATTATCACATTTTTTAATGATATATTTATCTGTGCTAGTGTACTTACCACACATGCTGGTGTCTCTAAATTATTTCCCCATATATATACATTATTTAATGATATATTTATCTGTGCTAGTGTACTTACCACACATGCTGGTGTCTCTAAATTATTTCCCCATATATATACATTATTTAATGATATATTTATCTGTGCTAGTGTACTTACCACACATGCTGGTGTCTCTAAATTATTTCCCCATATATATATACATTATTTAATGATATATTTATCTGTGCTAGTGTACTTACCACACATGCTGGTGTCTCTAAATTATTTCCCCATATATATACATTATTTAATGATATATTTTTCTGTGCTAGTGTACTTACCACACATGCTGGTGTCTCTAAATTATTTCCCCATATATATATATACATTATTTAATGATATATTTATCTGTGCTAGTGTACTTACCACACATGCTGGTGTCTCTAAATTATTTCCCCATATATATACATTATTTAATGATATATTTATCTGTGCTAGTGTACTTACCACACATGCTGGTGTCTCTAAATTATTTCCCCATATATATATATACATTATTTAATGATATATTTATCTATGCTAGTGTACTTACCACACATGCTGGTGTCTCTAAATTATTTCCCCATATATATACATTATTTAATGATATATTTAGCTTCATGGCCTTAGCAATCGCACACACTCCAGGTCCTTTTATTTGATTAGTGGTAATCACCAAACTACAGCAAATAGAAGATATAAATTATATCTATATTTTAGATTGAAACAGTTACAACATATATCTCAAAGCAAGACTTTTCCCACCTTAATATATACTCTAATCTCAACCTATTTGAATTCTCAGTAAGACCAGCTTTGTAATATAACATACCAGAGATTTCTATTAAAACAGAAAAACAAGTGCACCATGCAGAGCCATTGTGCCCCCACACTACATAATTTAATATCTTTTGTTTTTCTTTAAAACAATTTTATAAATTTATAGTCTTATTAAGCTGTACAAAAATTGAATTTTCTTCCTAGCCATATAAAGTCTCAGTCATCCAGGCATCAATAATTTTGTTAAAACCAATGTAAAGCATTACAGTTACATGTATTGTTAGGGTGACAGACATTAACTTACTGAGTTAGACATGTGTTAAATTGTCCCAGGGCATCAGCAAGATGCTTGGCACCATCATCTTCTATTCTGTTAAATCCTAAGTCTAGGATCTGTAGTGGTGTGTTGTGTTTTAATAGTTTTGATAAGTGTTTGGCACCATCTCTTGTAATACGATTGCTAAATTAGAAAAAAAATCTAACATCCTTAACAAGTACACATAAATTCAAGAGTCCAATTACATACACACACCAGTGTAGACTTTTCCCTTACACCCCAAGAATTCTACATGTATATGCAGATCTACATAAAATAAATCACATGATTGCTATAAATAAATATGAGTTGATAAGAATTGGAAATTAAAAGATGCATTTGCTTACTGAAACCATACAAAAGCTTCATTGTCATAAAAAGTTTCTCATAAACCACTATCATATTGTATTTTTCAGTGTTCCAGGTGTCAGATGATGAGGCACACTGATATGGCTCACATGCATGCCGGTTTGCACATGAAATGTAACATACGTGAGGGGCCTACTACCAAGATGCGAGCACAATGTAGTAACTCACCAGCTTACATCAAGATACTTAAGTGATGAATTGTCAATGAGTGCATCAGATAGTCGTTCAGCTCCAAAATCTCTGATGTCACACTTCTGAAGATGTAACTCTTGGAGTGTGCTGGTGACTTTTAACATTCTTGCCATATGTACTGTAGTTTCTTCTTGGTGACTGAACAATAGTGGTCTATTCACGTTAAGAGCTCTGATGGATTTATTTTGATTCAAAACTGTTGCTAATGCTATGACACTCTCTGTACCCTAAAGTTGACAAAGGAATTATATAACTTATCAAGATTAGTTAAAAGTATTTTAAATGGCATACCCTGGTATTTGTAGAGTAAAAAGTGAGTGGAGTGATCAGTCTTTTCAAATGGCATGCTCTGGTATTTGGAGTGTGATAGGTGAGTGGAGTGATCATTCTTTTCAAATGGCATATGAATTATTACATATTACTAGTAAAAAGATATGTATATGTACCATACCTGGTCTGTATCTCCTAAATCAAGTTCTTCTAATGTATTGTTGACTTGTAAAACACCAGCAAAAGCCATTCCACCTTTATTACCAATCTTATTACCATTTAGTTTCAGAGATACCAATGTCTCATTGGTCTGAAAATAAAGAGAAATAAATATATTCAGGAGTTGAGATCATTCTGTCACATGTTATTTCATTTTTTTCACGAGACAATATTATTTGTAATCATACACCCCCCCCCCCGAGAAGATGAAGGATGTTTTATTAACTGTATGTGTATTCAACTGACAAGGATTACAAGAAGATTATTTTTACATTGCATGCAGTACAATCATCATAACTTTAAAAGTTGGTCATCGCATTGTGTCATATATGGGTCCCATACAGTTTTTGAAATTTCTGTGTGCCGACATCAGGACAAGTAAGTTTTAAATTTTACTAGCCCTGTCAGAAAGTTACCAGCCCTGCATTAAAAATCATTTTAAATTACTAACATTCCCATGAGTAAGCAGCAGACAAATCTCATATTCTGCTGACACACACATTATGAAAAATTGCGTTCTTTGTTTCATGATCTCTGTACAGCCATCAATTGCAAGCAGACCAGGAAATTTGACCAGACCACCATGCATGTAAATAATTTCATTGATCCCCCATAACAACATATATAAAACATGGAATACATGTATATTGTTTGTTTACACCAAATTTGAACCCGCACTGCATGACAAAACCACTGCTCTTCAAATGAGTGAGTTTGTGTGGCCATTAACTGAATAAACTTTCCTACATCAGTTCTACGCTACCTGAAATGCTTTGGCAATGACTTTAGCCCCGGCTTCTCCAATGTCATTACACATGAGATTTACAGATCTTAACACCACAGTTTCCTGTAATACATGAATAACAAGAAATCATTTAGTGGTCAGCATAAGCTTCATACAATATGGTGAACCAAGCAATAGTGCTTAGTAAAAGAATACAATCCAACTAAATATAATGACTATTGATTCAATAATATTACAAAAAGTGTAAAAATACACTGGGAGAATAAATTGTCAATAGATTTTATACTCACTGATATACCCATACTTGTATAACAAAAAGAGTAAAGATGTAAAATGTAAAAACAATGTACAATATATATGACATAATGTTTCAAAATTAAACTAACTTGATGTTATTTGTAACATACACTATTTCTACATTGTTTAAAAGTCAGCCATCCAAACAACAAAATAACAGTATTTACAATAAACACAGAATATTTTCTCACCTCTAAAAGCTTTGCAATATACTCTGCACCTGTATCTCCAATATTATTATATCTCAAATCCATGGAATGGATGTATGCATTGTTTTTTAATGTCTCGTATAATGGACGCATATCATCATCAGTCAGTCTGATATTTGTTATAAGGTGATTGTTACCTGGCAACACTAAATCCATGTAGTCTTTAGGTTCCCTATAAAATCCAAGATAAATGAATTAACACATTTGTAGTCTGTGTATATCTGTGTTGTGGACAGCTATACTACTGTAGTAGTACCAGTAGGTACTATTTCTGATTTAACCTTAGGATTCTGAACTTTGTGTGAGTTATAGGATCCATGTTAAGAACTAAACCTGATTAGTTTTCATACTAAAATTCATATATCATACAATTACATGTGTGAACTAGACCATGTTTAAATCCAAATTTATACATGTATATTCTTGGAATGTCCTATTATACCTCATATAATTCCCAAGGAGATCTAACAGTGAGAGTGAATGTGCCAATCATTGATGATATTGCTTGCACAGTTACCCAATGAAAAGTGATTTACATTTAGAGTTACAATAGCATGCACTGTTTGTACAGAATTATTTTTAGAAGCAATAATTTTTGCATCTTTTTGTTCTATTTCATTCTTACTCTTTGAGTTGAATGATACTTTCTTTTATATTGTACAGTTGTTAATGAGTATAGGCTATGCTACCGTAATCAGGTCTAAAATACCAAAGATTCATGCTGTATGTACAGTTGTTAATGAGTATAGGCTTTGCTACCGTAATCAGGTCTAAAATACCAAAGATTCATGCAGTATGTACAGTTGTTAATGAGTATAGGCTTTGCTACCATAATCAGGTCTAAAATACCAAAGATTCATGCTGTATGTACAGTTGTTAATGAGTATAGGCTTTGCTACCGTAATCAGGTCTAAAATACCAAAGATTCATGCTGTATGTACAGTTGTTAATGAGTATAGGCTTTGCTACCGTAATCAGGTCTAAAATACCAAAGATTCATGCTGTATGTACATTTGTTAATGAGTATAGGCTTTGCTTCCGTAATCAGGTCTAAAATACCAAAGATTCATGCTGTATGTACAGTTGTTAATGAGTATAGGCTTTGCTACCGTAATCGGGTCTAAAATACCAAAGATTCATGCTGTATGTACAGTTGTTAATGAGTATAGGCTTTGCTACCGTAATCGGGTCTAAAATACCAAAGATTCATGCTGTATGTACAGTTGTTAATGAGTATAGGCTTTGCTACCGTAATCAGGTCCAAAATACCAAAGATCCATGTTGTATGTACAGTTGTTAATGAGTATAGGCTTTGCTACCGTAATCGAGTCC